AATCAAACCCACTGGCTTTTGTTGCACAGGAGCACACTCCAACCAACTGAGCCACAAGGGCTAGGGCCCTGATTGATATTTTTTAACTTAAATGTTACAAACAGGCAGGATGAGATTGGAAGTGCCTGTTCCCATATCGTGCTGAATAGAAGGATTGAGAGTGGAAATCCTTGTTCCTGACATTAGGGGAAGGCTTTCAGTCTTGTAGGGTTAAGTATGTTGTCAGCTATAGGTTTTTCTTAAAAACCTTTTTTTCAAGTTGCAGACATTTCTTTCTTGAGAGTTTTTTTGAATCAGGAATGGATATTGAATTTTTTCAAATGCGTTTTTTGTGTTTATATGATTATAGTTGTTGTTGTTCTGTTAGATTTTTTTAGTTGCTATGACTTACAGTGATCGATTTTCAGATTTTAAACTAACCTTGCATTCCTGGGGAAAACCCCACGTGATCATGATATGATATACTTTTTATGTATTTTGAAAAGAATTAGGGCCCTGGCTGGGTAGCACAGTTGGTCAGAGCATTGTCCGGATACACCAAGGTTGCAGGTTCCACCCTGGTCAGGGCACATACAAGAAGCAACCAGAGCCCTGGCCGGTTTGGCTCAGTGGTTGGAGTGTTGGCCTGCGGGCCAGAGTGGCCCAGGTTCAGTTCCCGATAGGGGCATGTACCAAAAAAAAAAAAAAAAGCAACCAGAGAATGCATAAATAAGTGGAACAACAAATCAATGTTTCTTTCTCTCTCTCTCCCCCTCCCTCCCTCCCTCCCTCCCTCTCTCCCTGTCTCTCTTTTTCTCTCTCCCTCCCTCCTCGCTTCCCTCCCTCTCCCCTCCCTCTCTAAAATCAGTAAACTAAAAAAAAAATGTGATTTGAATTCTTAGAATTTTTACATTTATGTTCACAAGGGATATTGGTCTTAAGTTGTCCTTTCTTGTGATATATTTGTCAGTCTCGGTCAGACCAGAGCAATACTAGCCTCGTAGAATGTCTTGGAAAGTATGCCCTCTTCAGTTTTCTGGGAAAGTTTGTGTAGAGCGGGTATTTTTTCTTCCTTAAACGTTTGAAGTAATTCACTACTGAAGTTATCTGGACCTGGACTTTTATTTGTGTAAAAATTTTAATCTACAAATTCAGTTTCTTTATCAGCTACCGGGCTGTTCAGGTTATCTCTTTCTTCTTGAGTAACCTTTGGTAGTTTGTGTCTTTTAAGGAATTTGTCTAGCTTATTAGCATGAAGTTGTTTATAGTATTCCCTTTTTGTCTTTTTAGCTGTAGAATTGGTAGTGGTGCCATCTCTCTCATTCTTTTTTTTTATAAATTTTTTAGAGAGAGAGAGAGAGAAACATTGATTTGTTGTTCCAGTTATTTATGCACTCATTGGTTGGCTCTTATATGTTCCCTGACCAGGGATCGAACCTGCAACCTTGGCATTTCAGGATGATGCTCTGATTATTTGAGCTACCCAGCCAGGGCCTCTCTCATTCTTGATATTTGTAATTTGTGTCTTTTATTTTTATCAACCACTTTGTCTGTGTCTGGCTCTTCAATCCAGTTAGACTACTGCTTTACACAGCTCTTGTGGTGACTGCCCTCAGGCAAAAAGTTAGAAAAATGGGTCACTTGGCCCAGAGAGTCTTTCCGTTTCTCCAATTGCAGTCGACTTCCTTCCATTTTTGGCCCTTGTTTGGTTACTCTCTAGTACTTTCAGGTAGTTGTTTTTTCTGTTATCCAGAGGCTATAGTTTTTTGCTATGAGAGTATCCAGTGTTGGAAGCAGAATGTCAGGGGTTTTGGTTTTCTGACATTCTAGCAAATCGACACATGCCTGTAATCACAGTATGGAACTGGGTAACTTAGCAGTACTTTGTAGTCATTGCTGCCTTTTTTGGATTTGATGTGAAATAGCTCAACTGGATATTTAGAATAAATTGTAGAGTTAGAGAAAAGTGAAAGGAAAAATGTTGGGTTAACTCTTTTCAAAATGGTTTCAGTAGGAAAAACCATTATCATTTTAAAAAGTGAGCATTCTTGAGTACTGAATATGTCAAGCTTCTGAATGATTTTTTGCTTGTCATGGGGAAGTTTTTCAAGAGTAAAAGTATGGAAGGAAACATATTTTAGACCTGAAAACAAAGCATTTCTAATTTCTTAATATTTATTATATCAAATACGTTAGTTTTAGGTCATATCAATGCTATGATACTTAAATATTTTATTTGCAATCGACTTTATTTTCTGGTCATTTTATATTGAACATGTATGCCCTCTTAGTATATATTGCAATTTGAATTGAAAGATACTAGGAGAAGTCATCTTAGGCCTCTGGATCTCAGCCTGATACTTACTGAGCAGTACATGAGCCATGCACTGTTCTAGGCACAGGAGGTTCACCGGTGAACAAGAAGCTTATATTCTTAGAGGCTCAGAAATCTGACTCTTGGCACACCGTGCATGGTCAGGCTCACATGTTCATGCCCTGATGCCAGTTTGTTCATTTGAAGTGAGAACTACAGCTGTTAATTAGACTGGTGAAGTTGAACTGAGAGATTAGTGCATTTTCTCTTTTATAGACAAGCCACATGGGAAGCCAAATTACAATCACAAGGTTGCTTGGTGAGAATGGAATCAAAACAAAGGGACTTGGTTAGATAATCCATGATTAGGATACACCTGCCACACGGACTATTTGGGTTTCCCCTGAATAATGCTGAGCAGCAAAGCTCGACAGTGTCTGGTTCTTTGGGCTTATTTCTATGGTGACCATTTTCCTTTGTTCACACAATTTTTTTTTTTAACCAAACTATAATCCAATTTACTAAATGACAAGCCACATTCTATGCCTGCTTCCTAAGATTACACTTAGATCACCTTTAGAAACATTTAGAGATTTCAAATTCTGAGGCCAAGCATACACATAGACAGTCTCTTGGTTAATTTCAACACAGTGTTGCCATATCTATTGTGCCAGGTAGGTTTTACCCTTGGAGGGTGGCCTTTTCATTTATTTTCGCCTTATAGTCATGGTCTGGAAGGATGTGTGAATTACATATTCCATTGTGCCAGGTAGGTTTTACCCTTGGAGGGTGGCTTTTAAATTTATTTTCGCCTTATAGTCATGGCCTGGAAGGATGTGTGAATCCCTTATAATTGTCCTCATGTACTGTCAGTAATTTAGTTTTACTCTGTTTAAATTTATAGCCCTGGCCAGTTTTGCTCAGTGGTTAGAGCATCGGCCTGTGGTCCAGGGAGACCTGGGTTCAGTTCCCGCTAAGGGTGCGTACCTTGGTTGTAGTTTGTCCCCGGCCCTGGTTGGTTGTGCCGGTGGCAGCTGCTCGATGTGTCCCTTTCACATCGATGTTTCTCTCTCTCTGTGTTCCTCTTTCTCCCTCCCACTCTATCTGAACAAAAAATAGAAAAATGTCCTCAGGTGAGGATAAAAAAAAAATTTATAGACAGTTACACTTTTGTTTTGCATATAACATATGGATGCCAAACCCTTGTTCTTAAAATCAATTACTACTTATAACTTTGTTTTCATGGGAAAGGCTAATCTGTCCTAATGGAGGTAAAATAAATGTATTTGAAAATGTAGGAAATAATATAAATTTAAACCTAGAGAAAGTCCTGGGACCCAAACATACATGTTTGATTTTTTTAAATTAAGGAATATACTAGAATTCCCTATGAAAGACCCAGGGAACATGAAAAGTAGTTGCCTTCAAGGAGGAATGGCATGACTTGAGGTATAATGGAGACTCAAACTTTGGGATTGTGAGCCAATTTCACTTACTAGAGTCTTATATTTCCTCAATTATTGTCTGTATATCGGCTGTCCACAATCAGGGTTAAAGGACCACCCAGTTTACTATTAAAAACAAACAATGTTAAGACCCAGTGACTGCCACATCAGTTCTCATGTTTTGTTCTCATGTTTTCACTAACCAAAGGAAGTGGTATCACTGTCTGTACGTCCAACAAAACCTATGGGCAACCAGCAAAGCCTTGGCAGGTACCAGTTCGCAAGTTCCTTGAAGGCAAGAACCATAGCAACAGCAGCAGTGGTAGCAGCAATCATGATGTGTGTATAGTGCTTCGTAGTTTTCACAGAGCCCTTTCACCTAAGTTATCCAATTTGAATTTCACAGGTAGACCATATAACGTATGTGTATGTTGGTAACCATTTCTGCTTTCTAGCCAACCACTCTTTCCTATTGTAAATGTTTGGCCTGAAAAAATGGGAAAATATGCTTGTCCCCTTTGAACTATCACAGTGCCTTCTGTAACAGGCACATTTAGTTGTTTTGTGGAATTTTAGATTATACCTATAAGGATTCTTAACTCCAAGTTGATCATGAAATGAAAAACAAAACTACGATTCAGTGTCTGAGTCTTTGAGTGGGCCTGTTGTCCTTTAAAAGCCTCTTACAAGGCTACTCTACCATTTTTTCAGTCTCCACTCCATTCTTAAAATACATTCCAATTAATAACAGCTTTTTGGGGGGCTATTTTATTTTTTTTGGATTATGTTTTTATTAAAATATATTTTTTCAATTACAGTTGACATTTATTATTTTTTTTAACTTTTTTTTTTTTAATCCTCACCTGAGGACACTTTTCCATTTCTTGTTCAGATAGAATGGGGAGGGAGAGAGAAAGAGAGAGAAACATCGATGTGAAAGGGACACATCGAGTGGTTGCCACCCGTACGACCCAACCAGGTCCAGGGACAAACTGCAGCCGAGGTACATGCCCTTAGCGGGAACCGAACCCGGGTCTCTCTGGACTGCAGGCCGACACTCTACTGCTGAGCCAAACTGGCCAGGGCTATTATTTTTTTTTATATTAGTTTCAGGTGTATAGCATAGTCATTAGACAATTACACAATTTACAAAGTGATTCCCCGCGATAAATAAAATACCCACCTGGCACCATACATAATGATTATAATATTATTGACTGTATTCTCTGCTGAGCTTGACGTCCCCACAACTATTTTGTATGAAAAATATGGAACACTTCGCGAATTTGCATGTCGTCCTTGTGTAGGGGCCGTGCTGATCTCTGTAGCGTTCCAATTTTAGTCTATGTGCTGCCGAAGTGAGCACATAAGAGCTTTCTTTATGCACATTACTTCTGTGGATATCAACGTTCTTGATCTGAACTGTATAGTATGGTAACCGTTAGCCACAGATGGCTGTTTTAATTACTTGAAATAAAATTATAATTTCAGTTAGCCATAATGGCCATATTGTAAGTGCTCAGTAGGCATGGTAGCCACTAGGCATGTTAGTATTGTACAACACTGTTCTAGATAATTTAACTTCAACTTCGTTTTGGAGAGGGAAGGCTGTCAAATAATTCTACCATTGTTTGTAATTTTATCTGCAAGATTTGTGTTTCTAAATACATTTACTAAGCCTGTCTATATGATATAAAATCCATATTTTAAGTATGCCTTAAAAATATATATAGTTTTAATTTTCTTAGTACTTCCTAAGTAACAGATCTTATAGGTAAGCAGCATTGGGAATTGAAGTAGAAACTCATGTAATAATAAAAATGCCCAATTTCTCTTCCCTTCTGTGGATATGTGCTGAAGTACAAGAGAAAAATTGGAATGTGATTCTGCCCTACTTAGAAAATGCATAGCCATAACATAAGGAAAATTAACCGACTAACAATCTTTTTTTTTTTTTTTTATCCTCACCCGAGGACATTTTTCCATTCTTTGCACAGATAGAGTGGGAGGGAGAAAGAGAGAGAGAGAGAGAGGGAAACATCGATGTGAAAGGGACACATCGAGTGGCTGCCACCCGCAAGACCAACCGGGGCCGGGGACAAACTGCAACCGAGGCACATGCCCTTAGCGGGAACTGAACCCGGGTCTCTCCGGACCGCAGGCGGATGCTCTAACCGCTGAACCAAACCGGCCAGGGCCCGACTAACAATCTTAAAATGATTCGCATAGTTGAGATTCCATGATGCAAAAATTTAGGTCAGTTGTACTCATCAGATTAAATATTAGTTTGAGAGTTTAGCTTGAAAAGGCATTTAGCAATTGGAGAATTTCTCAAGTATAAAGCTGATATTAAAACTTTGATATCACACGTTAGGATCTTAAGTGTTACAAGTTAATTCAGTGAGATGTGGAGCATGTCCCATTTACCCTTTCTTCTTTTTACCTACATATTCAAGTTGTGCAGAACTAAAGGAAAAATCCAGACTAACATCCCCGGACTATATTTTTTGCCATGGGTGATTTCGAGAACTTCAGGTTTAAAGCTGCAGTATCCCATAATGTATTCAGATTAACTAGGACAGAACACTCTGAGAAATGTCTTTGATCCTAGCCTCCATAAGAATGGTTTCCTTGAGTGACTGAATATAATGGAGAGGCCTATTTGCTAAAGGTGACCAGCACTGTGCCATGATGAAAGATGGGATTGGATAGGTCTTGTTCAGGGGTTTTACAGAATGAGACATTTGGATACACTGAGTTCCAGATAGATGGAGAAAATTGTATGAATGTGAAAAAAGTGATTACTTTTTTAAAAACAAGAGCAGAGCCCCACAAAACACTGGTAGTTGTTATGTTAGTGTGGTTCTGTGCAATCAGATGTGTGTTTAATACCTTTTTCACTTTTAAAAGCCATCACTTTCTTGCAAAGTCAGGCAGTATTAGAATCTCTAAAGACAGCTTTTTTTTTATGGCCTTTCCACTAGTTGGGACTAGTGTAATATTCACGGAGAAAGCAAATATTCCCCCTTTTATTTCTATATTCATTTTAGATAGATATTCTTCGCCTAAATAGAAGCTTGTTATGAACATGAGTATAGAAGAGAGGTTTTTATTCATACATATTTAAAGAACATCAGTAATAAAAACATTTCCCTAGCTGTGACAAAGAAAAGCTTTTGTTTAAGGGTTAGGTATGTCTAAGGAAGTGACTCTTGTTAAGAACTAAGGAATAAAATATAATTCATCTTATCTTGTGTAAGGAAAATTGTCCTAACTTGCATGCTGCTGAGTGCCTAATTTACATTTAAAGCTGAAGTAATGAAGCCTTTATTTTTTGCCAGAAACTCCCATTTCTCTCCCAAATATATTCTCTATCAGACAAAAAAACAAACAAACAAAAAAAACCCTCATTATTTTGCATGGTAATGTGTCTTTGCTGATGCAGAAAAGCAACATAATTCAGGATGAAGGATTAATTTAAACTTTCTTATGCGCTCTTTTGCAGATAACTAAAATTATTCCTAGGGACCAAACAGTGGGTGTGCAGGGCACACCAAAAAAAAAAAAAGCTTCATCCTGGTGAATTGCAAAGGAAGGGTAAGGGTATAGTCCTTTTTTCACCTGGAGGAAGAGGTTCCTAAAAATTGTCATGGATGTAGAATTTAAGTCTGAGGACTTTTTAGACCTCATGGAAACTAGTCACAGGGGGTCCGAAGTTGAGAGTGGATCTATGGAAGCTCTTAGGAATAAACTATTTATATTCAGTTAAATAAATATGAGTATAATACAAATGACCCTTTCATTTATACTGTTTTATTTAGTAATAAAGGATACTAACTATTCATTTTCATTTACTATCCCTTGTTCAATATAAATTTTGCTTTGTTGCAGATAATGAGCATACTTTGAGGCATTTTCCTTCTTCTCCCATGGCTGGTTTTCTATCTAGCTGTTCATTGACTTTCTGATTTTCAACCTCAAAAATTGTTGATGCCCATCTCCTTGAGGACCCCCCCCACACACACACACACAGCTGACTCTTAGATGCTATCTGTGTGTAGTTTTGAGTCTCAAATATGCTTGCACTTACCTTCTTTTATTTTTCCTATGGCTTCATTCTAAAATTTTTTATTCTTGTTCTGCCATTAGCTTTTACCTTTCTTTCCTCTTCCCAACCCCAGCTCCATCTTCCTCTAATTATCCCCAACAGGACTGAGTCATAGTTCGTGCAATCTGCATATACTGAAACTGAATGAAATTTTTGAAGTTGTCCCCAAAATACACAGAAGTAAATGTGAGACTATGCAAGCTCAATTTAATAAGATTAGATATGGGAAATTAGTATCGTATCCTGCAAATGCATGTGAATATGTGTGCTCTCAAACGGTCTATGTGCCTGAGAAGAACTTGCAATCGTTAAAGCTACTCAAGAACTTTCGAAACTTCCAACACAGTTGATGTTTGAGCAAAAGTAATCAATGTGCTTGCTACAATCAGTGGCATAACCAGTCATTTATTGAGTATCATCACTTTGGATTTGTGAACAAATGGACTTATTTACAGCTTTTTGGAACCTAATTAGTTCTGAAGTCAAAAAGCTCCCCTGCTATTCCAGCATAAGAGTTTCAGGTCATAGATAACAGTTACCTGATAGTTTCTGAAGCCAGATTTGTGCCACATATCTCCATCCCTTGGTCCTTGGGGGTGTCCCAGATGGGGTGAGAATGCCATCGACCCACCCTCCCTCCCAGCCTGCCCAGCTGGCAGTCATTAGACTTGGGAGGAAGCAAAAACAGCTTCTTACCAGAAAGATGCTGAAACTTCTGTTTTGTAACTGCATTTCCTGTTAAAGCCTTGGTGGTTGTGTTGTATTTTAAGTTTATTCATGGGCTTTAGTTTGTGTTTTTTATCTTTTTGGCAAGATTTTATGCATTGACAGTGTACTACATTCTTTAAATTTTTTTAGACGTAAACTGGAATATTCTGATCTCCACGCTATTTAGAGTTCTTATTCCATGAAAGATCATCCAGAAAGAGACAGCCGAGCAAATTTGGGATTATTTCACCCTAATTTGGTATTCATTATAGTGGGAATTTGAAGAGTTTTTCTTGTGATCATTAATATCATAGTTAAGGTTTATTGATTACTTAATAAGGAGTAGTTGGAGCCTTGTACTGGTTTCTGGATTAGTTGGATGAGATATATGAAATAGATTAAAATATTGAGCCATTCTTATAACAGAAAATATCAAAGCTACTGCCATAGTTCATCAGAAATCAGGAGAAAAAGAAAGTTATCATTGGCCTGAATGAGCTGAAGTTCAAAGTAAGACTGTGGTCATTATTCATTACTTCTTTTCTTTCAAACAGTAAAATTCTTGGGTTTCTGTGGACAAGGCTGCTTTTTAATGGCATGTTCTCCAAACAGCTGTTAAGCACCCCCCTCCCCAATACCACAGACCACATCTGTTCCCACTGTTGATTAGATAGAGGGTGGAGAAAGAAGAGAGGCTGTAGCATGTGTAATTACCAGTAATTAATTCTTGTTGCGCCTCCTCATTTCCTTCTATTCTAACTCCACCTACTCTTCTTCCTGTCTCTGTTGTAAATTCTATTTCATGTTGGCTACTTGTGGAAAATAATTTTGATGGGTATACAGCTGTTTTCCTAAAATTTTACATTCACCTTACAGTGAAGCTTTTATTTTTCTTCTGGTGGCAAAATCTCTTGATAAAGCAAGGCAAATAAGAAAGTACTAAAGTAAGTGAGCATATCTCCTGGGGCAAGCTTTCCTGCTTCCTTATGTTCCGTTCTTATTGCTACTATTTTCAGTTGTCAACAAATATTTAATGACTATATTCTCTCTTAAATGAACTATCACAGACTATTGCAAGGCATGAATAAGTGTGAGGAAAACAAATGTAAGATATAGTCCTGGTCCTCAGCGTTAATGTACAGTGTAATTAGAGACCTAAAATATGTATATGGAAAACTAATGATGTAAGTTAATATGTAATAATTATAACAAAATGATTGCCAAAATTGTTAAGACTACATAAGACAGAGGTAGTGTTCTGTTCTTTTTCTTTCTCTTTGGGATAAGGTAAGGTGAAAGAAATATAAATTTGAGCATTTTTTGTTAATAGGGAATAAATAGTTAGTATGGCATAGGTTTGTTCTTTAAAGAAAGTTAATTGCATGCCTTCTTCACAAATCTTAAAAGCCTAGATTTTCAAGATGTGATGCTTCTTGTGTGTCTGTTTTCAGGAGAATGGATCTTCAAGTGGAACATTTTAAAACTGCTTTTTTTTTTTTTTTTTTAAATCCTCACCCAAGGATATTTTTTCATTGATTTTTCAGATAGAG